CCAATTTTGAGGGGAACTTTATGTTCTAACGTGTGATAAACAAGGCCGTCAGTGCGTGTTTACATACAATGTTGGAGAGAAGGCCCTGAGAGCGTCTCGAAGTCACAGTGTCTAGGAGAAGGCCCTGAGTGCGTCTGCTAGATACACCTATCGTGGATAAACGAAGGCCCTGAGTGCGCCGTTTATTCACAACCCGTATAGAGTAAGGACACGATCCGTCATCACGGCCCAACAGCGCCCAGCACGCGCCCAGGCAGCCCAGCAGCGACAGCCCACCTTCCGAGCCCAATTCGGGAAAATCCAGCCCACTTTCACCGAGCCCAAATTTGTGAGGGTGCAACCAACTTACTTAGGAGTCTTTTCAGCTAAATTGACCCTAGGGTAGTCCAAGTCAATGTCAATTAGTCCTAAGCCCAAGTGGGTGCATGTGCATGCATTATTTTAATGCACATGTGTAAGTCTTGTCCCCTTGTCCTTAGTGCTGTTGTACCAGATCAAGATTCCCCTGCAAAGATGCTGTAAAAGCCTCCAAAAACAGTGCAAGACCAAGCCATAACCAGCCAAAACCTCCCCTAGCCTCCATGTGCATGTGGAAGAGCTTTTGTCCCCTTCTTTTGCCTTGTTTAGTCCGCCCATGTGCTCTCTCTATTAAGCCTCATCAATTCAGCTGAAGAATGTCTTTTATCACTTAGAAAATTTGAGCCAACACTTAGCTTATAGAGAGAAATAGAGAGAAGCTAGTCCTTGTGCATGCTATTGCCAAGAGACATCAACACCAAGCTACCTCTTGTTCTAACCAAGTTTTGCTGCACCAAGCCAAGTTCATATCATCTCTGGGAGTATAAGGAGCTTAGAGAAGCCACCATCTTCAGCTTATAGGCCACCAAGTCATGCCACGACCTTTAGTGACCCGAGAAGAGCCGAGCAAGGGACCTAGCGCCGTTTTCGTCCTTCGGTGAAGGTTAGCTCGTGCTATCTTTTTATCCTTGATATAACATGATATTTTAAGATTTATCATGTAGAGAAATTAAGTTTTGCTCGGGTAGAATGAGAGATTCGGATTTTTGAAGCTTAAAGCTTTAAAATCGGATTTTTCGTTGCATGCATGTTTAGGCCGAGTTCTTGAGCTTAAAAATCCTTATAAATCATGAGTATTATGGGGGTTAAAACAGGTTCTTAAAATAAGTAAGGGTGCTCGGTCATCTAGAGCTCTATTTTTTTCGAGAAAATAAGCCTCTGAACCACATTGTTATGCATGTTTGAAGGGACATTAGTGTGTTCTTGATGAACCCTCGTATGGAACATTTATGAGTCTTTGGCCTCATGGTGAAGGCCTTAGACGTTTTTGTTGAGTATGTGGTCATATATGTATTTATGAATCTAGAGTTGCTGCTGATTTTTACAAAAATCATCATAAATCATGTGTTCGTCCGATTGCTGTGCAATTTAAACTGTATGACCTTCTTTTGGCATGTTATGTGGTGTAAAAATTTCAAGTCGAAATGATTTCTGTAGCTAGGTCAAATGTCGATTTGAAATTCTGGGCAGAAACTTTGAAAAATCATTAAAAATCGAATTCTTGGTGTTTTGCTGTGATTTTTGGTGAGTGTTAGTAATCTAATGTTATATGTGTTGTGTTCAAAGATCGTTGAAAAATTCAAAGGATTGCCTGGTGAACTAGAAAGTTCAGATTTTCATCGTCTTTTTGTAAAAATTGGTTGTTTAAGTTAAACAAAAGTGTTGGGTCTGAAACTTTTTGAAAATATGTCTTTCTGAGTCTATTTTAATGTGTAAAAATTTCAAGTGAATTGGTCGAGTACTTTTTGAAATCGGTCGGTCCTATTTGAAACCCTACTTATCTGTCGGGCCCTGTGCACTGCTGCCAGTGCCCCAGCGCGCGCGTGATGACGGATTGAATTTTTATCTATACGGTGGGTTGTGAATAATCGCGCGCTCATATCCTTCGATTACTCACGATAGGTGTATCTATCAGACGCACTATCGGCCTTCTCCTAGACACTGTGACTTCAAGACGCTCTAATGGCCTTCTCTCCGACACTGTATGTAAACACGCACTAATGGCCATGTTTGAACACATGTAAGAACATAAATGTAGCGCCCCGTTCGACTATTAGATTTTACTGATTTAATTTTGAATAATGCTGTTTTATTTTTATTTTTCTAAATGTCTTCATGATGTGGCTACATATTATATTATTGAATGAATAATATAATCTTACGAGTCGTTCGATTTATTTTACCGATCACCATTTGTATTTTTGATTTAATCGCTAAACTGAAATGTTATCCGTTTTAATTCGTTTTCGAGACGTTTAAATCCGAAGCTCAAACACTATCTTGTCAACCCAATTGATGAACAATCTCAGTCCATATTCGTGGGTTCAAGTAGATATTAAGTGAGCATTAAGCTTAGTAAATGCTTAATCAAGAGTTAAGCATGATTATCAAATTTTAATGTTAAGTATGGGCTAGCTTGGACATTACCTTACTTTATTCAATTGTAGTAAGACCTTGTCTCCTAACCCATTTGATGCTTCGTTCACACCTTATTCAGCCCCTTTAGTGCTCATTTTCTTTTTATTAATCCAAGTTATGCAAGAATCTTGGCCGCATTGGAAATGAAGTTATTCCACCTTGGTCTTCCACCATGTCCCCCACCATGCTCCCTCAAAGTTTGACCCACTTTGGAGATGTATTTAAGTTCTATTCTTAGCTGATCAAGCCTTCATTTCTTTCTTAGTATTCAACAAAGAAACCTCCCCAAACATCCAAGAAAAATATAGGAAAAAAAAACCGAACCAAAGTTTTATTGCTACCGAGAGCATCTTTGAACACCTTGCGGTTGTTCCAAGTTCTAGCCATTCAACCAAGAGAGAAGCTTCATTTTAGCTCTTATTCCTCTTCTAACCTCCACCAAAGAAGGCTTTAGCAGCATCCTTAGCCAAGGAATCAAGAAGAATCCGGGTTGTAGTCTCAAGCAAAACCACAAGCCATGCATAGTTAGAACTGAGCTTTCTTTGATTTTTCTTGAAGTTTTGAAGAGGTTGGTGTTCTTCCCTTTTATAAGATGTTTAGTGGATGAGATAATGTGCTCATTTATGTATTTTGTTACTTTGGAGTTTCAGTTTTAAATTAATTTTGGATATGCAATAAGTTAAGCTCCACCCGCTTTGCATGCATAATTTGTATGTGTTGTTTCACTTTGTTTTTGAGAATGTTGTGAGTAACATGGTATTGTTAGAATTATATGACTATTTCTTGTGTTAAATAGGTGTTCATAGGATCAAGAATCAAGTCTTTTAGCCTAGTATAACTCGAGTTATTGATTTTTAAAGTTAGGCATGCAAATTGAACTTTACATGTGCGAATTCAGCTGCAAATTCAAACGCGAATAACTCGAGTTCTACTTAGGATAAAATTATAAAATTTTATGAACATGTTTATATATGAGTTACAAGTCTGCATACCAAATTTCATGATTTTATCTTAAGAATTGAGTGAGTTATGATTTTTTCAAAAATGTTGTGCGTATAGTTTTTAAGCAAACCCGGCAGCATGTTAGGTTAGATGATTAACCCGGATGTTGTGTCGTAATGTACTCAAACTGAAATGTGTTCTGCATTAATTTTGTAGTGCTTTGAGTTAGGTCTCTGTTAGTTTTAGAATTTCGTGATTCAGAGTTGAATTGAATTTATTATGAATTTTTGAAGTTGAAACTGCAAGCAGTTTTTGAAATTTCGGGCAGAATTGAGAATCATGATGTTGGGCTGTTTTGACAATCTTAATGGAACTATGTGAAAATATGATCAACATGAAAGTTGTGTATATATGTGTTAGCTTCTTGTTCGTTTTGGAATCACTTGAATAGCATACTTGTAGCTCATGTTACCATAGAAATTTTGTGACCATGCGAGTTGTTCATTCCCATTTTTGGTCTACAATTATGTTATGTGTTATTGTGAAGTATGTGGCTAATTTATATCACATGAGTGTAGTTAAGTGGTTGTGTGTTGGATAGGCTTTCATAAGACTATTTTGTGTAATGTAGGTGTGTGACGAGCTGTGTCTCGGCCTACCTTTTACCTCGAATTTCTGTGATTTCATCCTCCGGATACCAGGTGGGTCTTATTTAAATCGTCTATGCCATGAATGATAAGTGTTTATTTTTGTGAGTATGATCTATGCATGAACATGAAATATGTAACCTATCGATGTGAGCTGTTACGGTCGTCGGTACGGTTATCCCTGTCGATGTAATACGGTTGCCCTTGTGAAGCAAGTCTCCTTAAGTCCTGATATGGTCGTGCCCTTGTGAGGTACATAAGCCCATATAGAAGGCCGTGTCCGTAGCGTGGCATGTACTCCCGCCTTCGGGTAATGAATCCCCGTTCTGCGGCTAACGATAGATGTGCACAGGAGTAATGTGGTTGTTGTGATCTTGATAGGAGACGAGATATGATATGATTATTTTATTTTCATGCTGCGACCATACTATTTTGACATGTCCTAATTTATGTGCATAGTAGTGAGCACTACGTTCATTTTGTGCTCACTCCCACCTGCTCTTCACGGATGCAGGTTAAGCAGGTGCCGGATGACAGGGGAAGACGAGTGGGTCGGTCTTTGATTTATGCTTTATGATTATGCTTCTGTTATTGAATAATGTGTGGTCCTTGTGAACCACTTTTGGTTGAGACGTGCTGAATCGTTTTCAAAACTTATATTTTTTGGATTATTGGACCAATGTTTCGTTTGGATATTCGTATTGGAATTATTTCTTGAATATCATGTGTTCGATTTTGCATGCTATGATGTTCAGCTAACAATCATGTGAAATTGAAGTTTTAAGGGTTAATGAAAACCATGTGAACAACCAGATATGACTTGGTTGATGTTAAATGTGTGAATAACGCCCATGTTTTCGAAAATGAGTTCGAAAAATTATTTATTGATTTTGGAAAGTCCGGAATTTCTCTAAAATCAAAGTGGGGTGTTACAGTTTGGTATCAGAGCCAGTCTGCGTTTCTGTAGATTGGTTTATATGTGATTATGTGCTTAGACCTTATAAAATGACCACTCGTCTCCGTCACTCCGCGCTGCTTCAGGTATGCTGTTTTAAGTATTTATGAAAATACTTGATATGTAAATGATACACATGTGGCAATGAAAGTACTTGTGTTGAACTTGTGATTTGGGGCTTAGGATCTACCCACCTTGATTTAATCGAACTCTAGTGTTTAAAGGCGAACTCTAGACTTCTGTAATCATGATTATTTTGTTATGTTTTGTGCTAAACCTCGTTCGGCTTATCCAATGTAGAGTAATGAATACCCGCAATAACCGTAACCATCAGCCATCCCAATCTCTTTCTCTACCTCATCGTCATCACCAGGCCCCTCCGGCCATGGATCTTACCCAGCTCATAGTCCAGTTTCAGAGAATGAATGCACCGACTTTCGCGGGGACTGAGAACCCCACAATAGTACTGGAGTGGATCAAGGAGCTGGATAAGATTTTCGCTGTGCTCCCCCTCCCGGACCGACAACGAGTATTTCTTGCAGCTTATCAGATGAAGGAGGACGCCTCTGACTGGTGGATTGACCACTGGGCCCGGAGGCCAGAGGCGGAGCTTCTTGCTCTCACTTGGGAGCAGATGAAGATGATGGTGCGTGGAAAGTTCCTTCCCCAGAGCTTTTGGGATAGGATGGAGTATGAGTTCTACCATTTGCAGCAGGGCAGCTCCACTGTGGACGAGTATATTCGCACTTTCACCCGAATGTACCTTTTTGCGGGTGACTCGGTGAATACTGATGCCAAGAAGGCCCGCAAGTTTCTCAAGGGGCTTAATCAGAGGATCCGTGAACTGGTGGAGAGTCACGGACTGATGTCTTTCACCAACACTGTGAGTCGGGCTCAGGAGGTGGAGAGCTATCTCATCCCGATAGCTCCGGTCCCTTCATATTATCATGCCTCCCAGCCTTCTCAGACCGCTGTTCAGCACTCTCAGCCCATCTCACCAGTGCCGGCCGACTCTAGTTCGGGCAAGAGGAAGGCAAATTCCCACCGAGATA